GGACGGAGCCCAGGTTTAAGCATGAATTTTATTTATATATCTTTTTTCTTTCTTCCTTTTTTTTTTTTTTTTTTTGGAGTTGAAGTCTCTGTTGCCCAGGCTAGAGTACAGTGGCACACTCACAGCCACACACAGCAGTCTCGATATGCTGGGCTCAGGCAATCCTTTCGCCTCACCTTTCCAAGTAGCTGGAACCACAGGTGCACACCACCGCAGCCAGCTACTTTTTAAAATTTATTGTAGAAGCAAGACCTCACCAAGTTGCCCAAGCTGGTCTCAAACCCCTGAGCTTAAGCAATCCTTGCCTCTGCCTCCCAAAATGCTGGGATTATAGGTATGAGCCACTCGTACCCAGTCTTATTTATATTTTGCATATACCTCATACATAGCTCTTAAAGGTAATTTTTACATAGACACCATACTATTTGATTTTTTTTAAAGATATGCAACCCATCATTTGAGGTCAGGTGTGGAAATTCCACTTCAAGCATCATCCCAATACTCAAAAAGTTTTGGATTTTGAATTTCAGATGTTCAGATTAGGGATGTTTAACCTGTATCTCCATTGTCTAGCATAACTCCTGTACGTTGTATCTACCAAAAAAGGGGTGAAAGTTAGCCAGTAATTTGCTATCTTCAAAGACCTGGGACTTCCTCTGGCCTGTATCCTTTGCCCATCCTCAAATAGTATCTCAATACATATCTCAAATAGTATCTGCTTTACTGCTGACAAAGCATTCTCTGATACTTTAACTCACTTAAATCTGAAAGCAACATTGTAAGGTTAGTATGATTCTTAAGCTATTTTACAGAGAAGGAAACTGACTCCCAAAGTTTAAGTAACTTGACTCAGATCACCCTGGGACATTGCCAGACGTGAAACCAGGGCTTTGCCACTGTACTATGCAGCCCCTCACATCTGCACACCCATAATAAGATCCCTGAGTGCTGGCTGAATGCCTGAGTCACAGAGAAGGTCGCCTACCTGTGGTTCACAAGCCTCTGAGTTTGTCTCATTTCAAAGTCAAAGAGAAATTATGCTTGTGGTTGCCCATTGTATTATACTGGCAGTTCTCTGGGTAGAGCAGTCAAGAGTTAAAAAGAACTATTCAATAGAGGCATAAAATAAAAGTCAGCCATTAGTTTTTCTTAATCCTTGTGTTTCGTTGCAAGCAGATACCTAAAGGTTAAAAAAACAACAAAAAAGATTCTTGTGGTAGATGCTGGTTCATGCTGTAGACACTGTTTTTTTCATTTTGTTCTTTAGAAGTGAGTGGTAAACCCATTTGCTTACTACCCTGTGGCTGAGCTAGTTGTGCTGCACAGCAGTTGGAGAAACTGAATTCAGCCGACATTGATTGACGTGTCTTCCAGGCACCAGGCAGTACACAAGGAGCTGGAGAAACAGAGATAAATAAGTCCCAGTCCTTATTTATAGAGAGCCCAGAATATTTTCTAGGTCCTTTATTCATGGCATACAATTGTTCTTTTAGGGAGAGAATTTGGATTAGTTTGTTTTTACATTTTGGTAAAATACAGTCCTTCTCTCAGAAAGTTACTGTCTAAAATATAAGGACTTTTTGTTTGTGAACATTCAGGAGGAGAGGGAATGACACAAATATTTGTAACTCAACAGTTACACAAGCTGTTTTTACACATCTTTCACTTCAGGGCCAGCCCTGATAGATTCAGTTTGATGATGTTTTATCCCCTCAAAGATTAATGGAATCCATTATGCTCCCAAAAGCATAAAGATTTACACAATTAAAAGTTAACCCAGCTACCCTTCTATTCACATTTGTTAAGTTGTCACGTCTGTGCATACTATGAATTTATTTTAAAATGTTAGAAGGTAGCATGCCAACATTATAGAAATGAGGGAAGTGGAGGGAAATCACAGAATATAACTGTCGCCTAAAGTGTCACTATCCTGATACTGAGTGAGAGGCTATTGGACCTTGGGCAGGTTATGTTTGTACCTTCATCTCCTCATCTGTAAAATTGGGATAATAATAGGACCTATTTTGTGGGACTTTTCCAGGATTAAATGAGACAGCAAATTAAAGCACACATACAAAAGCACACAATAAATGTGTATTTTATTAAAGCAAAAGTGAGCCATTTCATATAGTCCCTTTGTCTTGTTTTTCTTTTTTTATAAAGTTTTTTTCGTATACTGTTGTATCCTCATTTTTTTTCTTTCTTTCTTTTTTTTTTTTTGAATTGGAGTCTCACTCTGTCGCCCAGGCTGGAGTGTAGTGGTATGTTTATGGCCACCGCAGCCTCAATCTGCTGGGCTCAGGGGTTCCTTCGAGCTCAGCGTTTCCTTCTGCCTCACCCTCTCAAGTAGCTGGAACTATAGGTGCATGCCACCATGTCCACCTAATTTTTTTACTTATTTTAGAGATAAGTCCTCACTTAGTTGCCCAGGCTGGTCTCGAACACCTGGACTCAGGCAGTTCTCTCACCTTTGCCTCCCAAATGCTGGGAGTACAAGTGTAAGCCACTTGCCTGGCCTTGTATCCTCATTTCTTTTGTTTTGTTTTGTTTTGTTTTTTTGAGTTGAAGTCTCACTCTGACGCCCAGGCTAGAGTGCAGTGGCACACTCATGGCCACCCCAGCATCAACCTGCTGGGCTCTGGCAATCCTTTTGCCTCAGCCTTCCAAATAGCCGGAACTACAGGCACCCGTTACCACACCTGGCTACTTTTTGATTTATTGTGGAGACAAGATCTCGCCAATTTGCCTAGACTGCTCTTGAACCCGCGGGCTCAGACAATGCATTCGCCCCAGCCTTCCAAAGTGCTGAGATTACAGACTGAGCCACTGAGCCCGGCCTATCCTCATTTCTTACTGCCCTTTTTTATATGATACTTTCCAACTTGCTATGTGTGATTACTGTAATTTTTAATGGTTGTACATTGTTCCGTGATAGGGTAAGTGTACACCATCCTAACTCATCCATTTCCCTGTTGGACATTTGGGTTGCTTCCAGTATTTCAGTATTATAAATATTGCTTCAGTGAACAGTTTTTCATGTGTAGTGTAGTGTACTTTCACTTTCTGGGCAGTCTCAAGCAGGCTTCTTAATCTCTGTGTCTTTGTTGCCTTGTATGCCACATAGGGATAGCATCATACCTACCTGTGTGAATTCAGTGAAGCAGTGCTACAAAGCTTTTTGAACAGTACTTGGTACTTACCAGGTGCTCAATGAACATTACTGCTCAATCTCTGTTTCTAGTTTATTTCTTTAGGCTTGATCTCCAGAGATGAGGTTTGCCTACTGTAATAAGTGAAAGGACCAATTTCTCAACACCTTCGTTAGCAGTGATTCCAGGTTTCAACAAAGTAACTCTCTTTTCCATTAAAATAATAGTGAAAAAAATGTTCATCCATATTTGAACAGCTTGTTATGATTGGGACTCACTTCTGCTCACTCTTGAACAGTTAGACTTCCTTTACACCAAGGTCAGTTTCCAGAGGATGTTTGGAAATCTGTTTTTCTGAAGCTTGCAGTTCCTGGCTGCATTTCACCAAATTGTAATATAAATTTGCCCTTTGAAGCTTAAATATAAATTTTATTCCTTAAGAATGAAGCATCTTTGAATTTTTACTTTTTCCAAAATAAGCCAAGTCACTCTAGGAAAATTTGTTAGCAAGTAATAACCTCTATGATCCCTTCCCCCCCCAGAGAAAAGAAATTGACAAAGGTAACCCTATATCCTGGTTTGCCCAGTTTATACTTGTCCTGGTGTAATTATTCATAGGACCCACTTCTCCCTCAAAAGTGACCTAGTTTGGATGATAAGTTGTATCATCATCCTAGTCCTGGGGGATTCCTCAGCAGCTCGCGTACCTGCCTACACTTGTCACCTCTCTACTTACGACTTGCTGTCTGTCTAGCAAATGTTGCAGCCGCGTTGCTTTCACCACATTTAACCTAGAAGGTTCTCCTGCATGTGTTCAGCCTCTTTTGGATTCATATTAGCCCAGTAGGCATTCACTCAAGTGTACCCATTGTATCACTCTTCTTTGCTCCATCTTTCTGATGATTGTCAGTGGCGTAGGCAGGGCACTTTTCATTTGTTTCAGAAATCTTTTTGTCATTCAGAATTATTTGTTTTGGAGCTCAATTCATCCATTGGCAAATATAACATTCCTGATTTCCTATCACTTGGAATTTAAAAAATGATTAGGCCGGGGTGAGTGAATTACCTGAGCCCGCGGGTTCAAGACCTGCCTGGGCAACTTGGTGAGACCTTATCTCTACAATAAATCAAAAAAATTAGCCAGGTGTGTTAACGCGCGCCTGTAGTTCCAGCTACTTGGAAGGCTGAGGTGGAAGGATCGCCGGAGCCCAGCAGGTCAAGGCTGTGCTGGCCGGGAGCGGCCACTGCACTCCAGTCTGGGCGACCGAGTGAGACTCCAACTCAAAAAAAAATAAAAATAAAAACTAAAAAATAAAATAAAAAATGATATCTGTTCTCAATTTCATCTTAAATGCAAACCTTTTCTTACCGGGACTTTCAAGCCTATCTTTCCCTTATCAAATATAATAAGGTTAATTATATTTATAAAGCACCTCAAAAGCCCTCATGCAAGCATAGCAAACAGGTCAACAATGAGTAAGCAATGGCAAGGACGAGTCTAAAGTGATAGTGCACAGCTCCTGTCTCCGTGACTGGGCACAGGCAGAGATGTGTTCGTAAGATGAAAGTTTGTCAATATAGAAGTTTCTACACTGGAAAGACAAAATGCATTCATTTCTCACTTGTGATTACCTTGTGTACTTAGGTAATTGTATTTTAACTGGCATTGTTTTGTGATTTTAGAAGCTCACTTTTCCCCTAACAGGTGCCTGCATTTTAAGGAAGAAAAGCAAGTATTTTGATGGGGAATCCTTCCAGGTTGAACCGTGCGGATCTGTGTAGGGACTGTAGTTCACAGGTTAGAGTGTATATTCTCAATGGAAGAATTGTTTTTCTGTTTGCTTTAACTAGGTGACTTTCGGATGGTGGTTGGAGAGGATAAGACAAAAGTGTTGAATATTGTGAAGCCCAACATAGCCCACTTTCGTGAGCTCTATGGCAGCATACTACAGGAGAATCCCCAAGTGGTTTATAAAACCCAGCAAGGCAGACTGGAGGTAAACTGTGTGTGGAAAATAGCTTACATTGTTTGTAAGGCAAGAGCCATTTGCAGGGAGAACGTAAGGGGTAGAGCAATATGACTAGTGTGGGAACTGTATGTCAACATATGTTGCTGTGTATTTGAAATCATGCTAAAAGGTAACACAGCGCCTAGAAATCAGGGGTTGCCTTTGGGGAAGGGAACTAGGGGCAAAGTGGGAGAGGGACTTGTTTTCACAAGTATATCTTTTTTGCCATTTGAAATTCTTACTGTGTATATTAATTACCAATCAAAACAAGTGAAAATAAACTTTCAGATTACTTTTATTCCACCCCCAACCTCTTTCGCCTCTAGAAGTAACCATATGGACAGTTTGGTGTCTATTCTTCCAGATGCTTTTACATGTATTTTTATATCTGTTTGTACATATATGCATGTATGAAGAGATTTGGTCTTGTTGTTTGGCTTTCTTGTAGATAAATGGGCTCATACACATATTATTCTGAAGCTTGCTCTTTTTCTTTTTTTT